TTTTTTTTCTTATTCAGTTCTAAGATAGTATTTTCTTTACTCACCCTCTAATGCGATCCACACGATTCTTTCCCTGTCCACCAGTCGAGCTACTGCCATTCGTTAAAGTATTACCCGAACCGGTGCTTTTGCCACCCACGCTGCCCTTGCTGCCGCTCTTGTGGATCTTCATATTCATTGTTGAACGTTTCGAGTTTGTCTCCACCACTGTGTAGGGTATTTCGCGTAGTTGATCCTCAGTCATGCCGGCCGTATCGACCAGATCGAATTGCAAATGCTTCGCCAGTTCGCTTGACCAAACGCGATTACGCGAATCAGATGGAGATCTGATGAAAGAAAAGAAAACAGAAAAATGAGTAGTAAAAAAAAAGCAAAAAAAGCTCTTGCACGTGGTTACTCACTTATTCTTACGGTGTCGCCGCGATTTGTGATGCGAGTGTGTATCCGAATGACTGTCGTTGCTGTGCAGACTGCGCGCCACCATACTACTCTTCGACACTGACGCTTGCTGCACGGAACTTTGACCCAGACTAGCTTCGGCTTGGCGGCGTTGCACTTCGCGCCATTGTGATGTGGAATCGATTAGCTCCGCCGAACCGCTGCGCACCGAAGACGAACGATGTCCCGAATAGCTGCGACCGCGCGTGCTCTCATGATCAGAACCGGCTGAGTCACGACGATGACGCGAACGCCGATGCTTGCGATGATGCGAACGACCTGAACGGCCAGATCCACGCGATAATTCGCTCTCATTATCGGATGTACGCCGATGACGATGCCTATGCCTGCCGGTATGCAATGGAGGCAAGTAGAGAAGCAGAAGAATAAAAATAGAAACAAAAATAAAAATAAAAATAAACTAAATTGCATATTCGGTATACATGCATACATGGATCAAGGGTCAGCGATATAATTGAAGTTAAAGTCAATATTGCGTCAAATTATTGGTTATCAAAAACATATTTTAACTAAGCAGTCGGCGGTAATGCGATCGTACGTGCTTTCAACCGAGAAAATGCGCCGACCACGTCACGCCACTGCAGCTGTATCGCACTTATTAGAGCGCTGAATGTTTTTTTTGTTTTTTTTTGTAGTTGTGGCTATTGCTTATGTTGTTGTTGTACTCACCTGCGCGTCGAACGTGAATCGTTTGATGAATGACTCTCCACCGAACTCGAGCGATAACGTTGCTGATGAGCCGATGCTGAAGATGAAGAGACGTGATCGCGATGCGCCGAATGCGATGACTGTCGATTCTGCGACGCTGAGCCGGACTGATTATGATGGTGGTGTTGATGGTGATGATGCGAGCCGCTACCTCCACCGCCACCACCGCTACTGCCACCTGTTGCGATGGCCGATCGTACCGACCGCGGACTTGAGGGATTATTGCCAAATAGTGAGCGCTGCTGGGAACGTGGCCATGGAGCGCTGCGCGTGCTGCGCGGCGAATCAGGTGTTTGCAAATTACTATTGCAGACGCTGCCACCACCGTTGCTGCCTAAATGCGACTGCTGATGGTAGGGTCGTATGCCGAGGCTCGTTGGTATGCTGTAGGTGGAGCGGTAGGGACTCTCGTAGTTGTTGCTGTGGGAAGAGGGAAGATAGGAAAGTAATAAGGTAAATGAATATCACAAAGCAATTTAAGCAGTGAGTG